CGCCTAGGTGGAGAGTATTTGAGTTTTGAAATGTTTTAAACTAAAATTGATTATTTTATTTTGGTACTTATTGGGGAAGGTTTTAAGTTTTAAGGATTTTATATATACGTTTTCCAAGGATTGAGAGTTTTCTAAGTTTTAAGGATTTTATATAATTCACAATTATTTTCTTAAGTGATGAATTTGCTTTTACTTGTGAAAGAAGGAAACATATTTTATTTAAATTGTTGATCTTGACATCAAGGTTTCACGTGGTCAATGCTATTTTAATAATTCTCTCGTTTCCCTAGTAATAAGTTAATTATATATAGAAGATTTTTCTAACCTCAATAGCCCTTGACTGAGTTTCAGTGGATTGATCTGAATTATTTATGAAGGGTTCTAGACTTTATTTGATTAAGTTACCTTTGTTTACTTACAATTTATGTAGAAAGAACTACGTATGGCTTGATCCCTTAGTAAGGGTACGTCGGCAACCTAGAGTTACTAGGTGCAACCTAAAGATCAAGTGTTGAAAATTTGTTCAGTTAAGTTATATTGGAGCTTGTTAACGTATTCATGTTCTTCTAAGAGTTGAGACCAATTTCAGATGACAGAATGATTTATTTGGTATAAAGAGGCCTGAAACTATTTAAAGTTATTTGTCTAATGCATGTTGAACGATTGAGATTTGAATTTCAATTTTAACTATATATTTTTTTACAGATGGAAAATTTATTGGGAAATGTCTATTTTTAAGGGGAAACTTTGCCGGTTTTCTAGCAGAAATTAAACCCTTAAATGTGATTTTCATTTTGTGGTTTAGGGCAAGCGGGGTGTTTTGGACATTTATGCCCGACACCTGCTAGGTGTAGGACACGCATAGGGTTCGACACAGATTCCAAAGTGGAATTTGGGTCGGGTCATGTCACAACTTTCGACATATTTGGTTTTGAGCATATAAAATTTTTAAGAGAAAGCTGTTGTAGATATTGTTGAGATAAGGTTGAGGGCATTCATATTGCATTCATATGCACGTCGGTGACTTATAAGGTTGAGGGCACCAAGACCGTTGTGGCATTTATCCTCCGGCGAGTTTGAAGCAATCATGAACAATATTGCGCTGAACATAAAGAGCATCATAGATCATCCCGTGACAGAAGTTGAGTTACGAAGAAGTTGGTAAACATTATCTAGATTGCGTTAGGATAAGTGTGTGAGTACTTCTTGTAATCTTCATTCTATATTGGATTTGTTTTGGACTAAGGAGTCCTGTGAATTTTCCCAAGAGTTGGGGTTTACCACGTAAAGTAAATATCTGTGTGTTCCTTTACTTAAGCTCTGCATATTTTAGGATTGATAAGCCATCATATCAATCATGTTTCAAAAGTTTATTTTTATTTATTGTTAATAATTTCAAAATAGCCTATTCACCCACCTCTATGCATTTTTAGTCATCTTACAGGTAATTTCAAAAGCCCAATTGTGGTTGAGGCTAAATATGGTAGAACAAGGCAATTTGATGTTCCAGGGATCCAGATTTGTATGATATTTATTTCTGTGTCAATTTACTATCCCAAAGTGCCATTTAAACTTTATTATAGCATCATCTCTTGTGCTACCTTGTCATGAAAAGGCAGCATCTCTTGTGCCACCTTTTTCCTGTGTATATGTCTCATTCAGTTCGCTATGGTAGTAAAAAAATCCGATATTATGAGGTATATATATTCTAGACTAGAATTGGATTGGATTATGAGATAGTATTGGATTACACTGAATTGGAGTATGACACTAATTCAGTTGTGTTTGGTACCACACATGATTAAGGAGCTGGATTAACTGAAATATATTTTTACGTGGCCTAGCAAGATTAGACATAATCCAATTCAAAACTCTCTCTTGCAATTGCTATCTACTTTTAACATCCGGTAGTGCAAAATAATAGTGTGTCAACTTTCATTGCCTTGTAAAAGAAATATGAATCCAACCATTGTGTACATTATGACAGCATGTATGGCATGACAACAATCCATCTTTGCTAATACCTCTGCTTTTATAAGTAGGAATGCTGTTATTAATTCCACCATGGTTGTATTTTTCCATCCATCTTCTAACCTTGTGTAGGAAAAATGAACTAACAAAAATTGAATGGGGACAAATTAACACTAAGGTATAGGATCCTTGGTGCTGAAAAATACATTCAATATTCTTAATCTCACCGATGGATTCATAAACAAGATCAGGATCCTTTTCACAAGTACTAACTCTCCAATGAACTTTCAACCACATCCAAATCTTTGCGCTGCTCTTAGTTCATAGTGTAAGTTCAAGAATGAAGAGATATCAAGAATTTACGATTCGGCATAATGTTATATTGACACATCAGAGCGATATTAGTTGTCATTTTACAGTGTTGCAATACCTATATTCAATGAAAATTGCAATACAACAAATTCAGCATCCAGCCAAATTATAATTTTTCAGCGACGATAATTGAAGAAACAAGAACAATGATCCCATAAAAAAAAATTCAACTAAATATAAATAATAAAAGAAAAACTTCTATTTGGGGACTGAAAAAGTAAGGATTTGCATTACATAGGACACAGTAAATCAAAAGAAAAAATAAAAGGAATTGTAGTACACTTGTAGCTATATAGTTGTTACTCTTGAATTTTCAGTGACTGATGTTTTTGGTTGCTTCATTTGTCAAATAAACTCATGCATAATTTTAAGATCAAAGCCCCAGATGCAGCACACTCCTCATAGGGTTTTGTATCAATCAACTTTTTCTATTTCGCAAACATTCAATTTTCTAAAGATGACCGCCTTATGATTGTAGGAGCTTTTTCGTTCCGGAAGCTACATATGGGCCTGGGTTGCTGTAAAGAGAAAATGGGTTCTTGGAGCCTTAAGAAACACCTTGGTCACTTTCACCAACGAAATCAACAGTTGCTTACAGGTAAATATATGGCTTGACTTGAGAAGTTTATGGTATGGAAGCTAAGCATTCATGAGTTAAGCATTAGAGAGAGAGAGAGAGAGAGAGAGAGAGAGAGAGAGAGAGAGAGAGAGAGGTTTTTCTCAGAGAGAAGAGAAACAGGGGTTTACAGTAAGGGGAGAAGGAATTTTGAGAGGATTTGTTTGGGGGGGATTAGAGGGGGAGAGGAATAAGTGAAGAAAAGTTGGTGGTTTGAGCAATTTTTCGGCAGTTTGACGAAAGCTTCGTTAGGCTCTGGAATGGCTTGCCAAAAGAGAAAATGGGAAGAGATGGAGGAATAGGGCTCGAAATTGAAGGGTTCCAGTAGTGAGAGCAGATGCTTGCTCTTTTTAGATGTGGGTTGTGTTGATGGGTAGGAGATGCCCCCTTTTATAGCAGCTGGAAGCTTCTTCTTCCTAAGAAACCCTAGCTGGTTTCTCCTGAATCTGCCAATCTCTCCATTTCTCTTCTCTTCCTTCGATTCAACCTCATTTTGTGAAATCCTCCATAGTCCAAACACACAAAGACAAGATTTTTGGGAGCTCTAGAGGATTCCCACAGCTATTCCAATGGCCATCTCCTATCTTTAACTACCACCTATCCTTCTTTCCTCCCATATTTCGTGGCAAGAGCTGTAGGAGAAAAAAATGGGTAATGGCGTTGGTCTGAAGGGTGCTTTTCTCCTAGCAACCTGCGCACACTAATATCCTTTGGTTTTTTGGGTGGTCTACCTTGGGTTTGTTTGTTGGTCATGTGATGGAGACTCCCAGCAGCGTGCATATGTAAGTAACCCTTGGCTTTTGTCGTGGTTTTGTCTCCAGTCATGTGCTGGAGACTTTCAGATATTTTATAGGTCACTTGGGCCTTTCTCTAAGGTGATGGGTTAGTCTATTAATGGAATGGGCCAACTTTGGGCTCAAGAAATGGACTCGAGTTTTTGGACTCCCAAGCAGCCCAAAACTTCCACTTCTTGGCTCATCAATGGGCCTCGTGAATGCTTGTAACCATCCATACCACAACCACTCAACAAGTCCCAAACATTTGCGTGGCTTGGGCCCACTTAAGCTTGTAGCATGGCTAGGTGTAAAATCAAAGGTTTTCCGCTTGGCATGGCATGTTGATTGGCATGCTCGTGCTCGAATTTCATTGTATTGTAAAGGTCCATGGTCGAGTCAAAACGGCACTTGGCGGGATAATTAGCATGGGTTCATAGAGCCGGTGCATTTTATAGGCTTGCTACAACTCTTAGCGTGATAGGTTACATATTTGCTTGGCGTGGCAAGTGGATCGTGACTCGTGCGAGCATCTATGATGAACTTTCACATGCCCAAATCGAGTTTCTTCTCGGTAAGGTATCATATTGGGCTGAGAATATATTTGGGCCTAGCTTTGGATTTTTTGGGCCTCAACAACGATGATATAGGGTCAGGAAAAGTTTTCATCTTTACTTTCTTAAGATATATATTTGGTTGTTGTAGCATTTACAATTGAGTCCTTACAATTGGTTGTACGGAGGGACTCTTTCTCAGTTTTAAGGACTTGAGGGAAGGGGGAGAGTTTGACTCACTTTTCCACTGTGGCGCCACCTCATATGTAAATTCCAAAATATAATTTAGAATACCACTTTGTCAAAAATGAAACTTGAAAATAGATACCCAACCAACTGTAGACAAAAATGGATGAACCAACGGAAAATGAATGTTCATCCCTAAAATTGAAGAAACTAAACAGTCTCACTTACTCTTCTTGTGGCGGCGGCAACTTTTCTTGTGGTGGCGACGACGACTTGTTTTGTTTAGGGTTAGGTGTTGGGGTTTTTGTATTTTGTGGGCTTTTGTTGTTTTGGGCCTCCTATTTTGGTATTTTAGGTTGAGTTTTGTTTTGTTATGTTTGAGCCCTTGTTTTTCTTTTTGTCAATTTTTTCCTTGTACGTTGTATCTTTGGGTTTTTTATTTGGACGAAAACGTTGTATCTTTGTTTTGGCAAACATCTTTCATTCATTTCGACCAAAATAATCGTGAATCGCTTGCTCTGCCTTAGGAGCTGGTCGATGATGACGAAAATTATCGCGAAAAGAGCTCTAGGGCTCACGCTTCTCCAAAAGGGTAATCCTTCTTCTCTCGATTCTCTGTTTGGGCTCGTCGTTTTCAGAAGCCAGTTTTGCTCTTTTGCTGTCAATCGTTGTCATACTGTTAGTGTTAAGGAAACCATTGATTTGGAGGATTTGGTAAAAACGTGTTGTAAATCTGGTAATCTTGGGTTAGATGAAGCACTGGGTCACTTCGATTCCGTAATTCAAATGAAACCCATTCCCCCGATTTGGGCTATTAATCATTTGCTTGGGGCAGTCTCCAAGATGAATCAGTGTTTCACTGTAGTTTCTATGTATAAACAGATGCTGGCTTGTGTTGGCTTACACCCGGAAGTCGGTACACTGAGTGTTGTTATCAATTGCTTGTGCCGTATGAATCGGGTGGACTTGGGTTTCTCTGTTTTAGCAACTATCCTTAAACATGGTCTTCAGCCCAATGCTTATACTTTGAATGCTTTGCTTCATGGGGTTTGCGAGTACAGGTCGCTCTCTGAGGCAATGGATTTGTTCCAGAAAATAGAAGAGAAAGGATTAGCATGCAATGAAATCACTTACGCTACTATAATTAATGGGTTGTGCAGAGCTGGGAAAACATGTATGGCGCTTGAGATACTCGAGCAAATGTATGAAGATGGAAGGTTTAAGCCTGTCCCTCAATGCTATAATCCAATCATTGACCGCTTATGCAAAGAAAGAAGAATAGATGAGGCGCTGACCCTATTTCAAGATATGATCAACAAAAGTGTTGCGCCAGACATGGGTCTTTGGACACGAGCACTTGCTCTGTTTGAAATAATGAAAAACAAGGCATAAAGCCTGATGTTTTCACTTTCAATTCCTTAATTGATGCTTCATGCAAGTCTGGTAAGTGGGAAGAAGCTGTGCTGCTATTTAGAAACATGATTGATTGTGGAGCCTTCCCTGATATTGTTACATTCAGTTCTGTGTTGGATGCTTTGTGCAAGGAAGGGAAGACAGCAGAGGCACTTAACCTTGTGGAAGAAATGTTCCGTAGAGGTGTAAAGCCTAATGTCGTCACCTACACCTCCTTAATTAATAGCCTCTGCCATTCCGCGCAATGGAAAGAAGCCACAAGGTTGTTTAATAGAATGCTGGATGAAGGAATTGCACCAAATGTTGTAACCTTTAACACTGTAATACATGCTCTTTGCAAGGAGAGACGGGCAGAGGAAGCGCTCTCCGTGTTGGAGCTAATGTCCCAAAGAGGTGTGAGGCCCGACATTGTCACTTACAACAGTCTAATTTATGGCATGTGCCGTGCAAATCAATGGGCTGAAGCCACAAGGTTGTTTGATGAAATGGTAGTTCAGGGAGTCTTACCTAATATCATAACTTTGAGAATACTTTTGGATGCTCTCTTCCAAGGAGGGATGCCAGAAGAGGCTCATAAAGTAGTTGAGGCCAAAGTTAAATATGGTATGGAGCTGAGCAAAATAACTTGCACTATGCTAATTGATGGTTATTGTTTTCTTGGCAAAATGGATAAGGCAAAGAAGGTCATTGATTTAATGGTGATAAAAGATCGTGTCCCTGATATTGCTTCTTGCTATAAAGCCTTGGTCAACAGCTATATGCAAGCTAAAAGGATAGGTGAAGCTTTGAGGCTCGTTGAGGAAATGATCGAACAAGGGGTGATGCCTGATTTGGAAACCCTAAAAGCTTTGAGAGGTCTGCAGAATAGTTCCCCATGAGACCACTAGAACTAGTTACAATCCTGTAAAATCTTTTGACTGCTAATTATGTGATTGGATTCTAAACTTGTATGACCAAGCAATATTAGTGAAATGAAGTGGTTTCAAACAAGTATAGGATCGTTGGTGCTGAAAAATATATTCTATATTCTTAATCTCACCGATGGATCCATAAACAAGAACAAGATCCTTTTCCCAGGTACTAACTCTCCCATGAACTTTCAACCACATCCAAATCTTTACACTGCTCTTAGTTCATAGTGTAAGTTCAAGAATGAAGAGATATCAAGAATTTACGATTCGGGAAAATGTTATATTGACACATCAGAGCGAAATTAGTTGTCATTTCAGTTTTACAATACCTATATTCAATGAAAATTGCAACACAACAAATTCAGCATCCAGCCAAATTATAATAATAAAAGAAACCATAAAAAAAAAAAAAAAATCAACTAAATATAAATAATTAAAGAAAAACTTCTATTTTGGGACTGAAAAACTAAGAATTGTCATTACATATGACACAGTAAATCGAAAGAAAAATAAAAGAGGTTTAGAGAAGAGAAATTATCTAATGACCAAATATTCTCTACATCCTTCTTGTCTGCATATAGACCAACAACTGTAACATTTGATTCTTCATATAGGAGGTAAGTGGCCAAATTGGTGGCCACAGGGGAGGAGATTGAAAAAGAGAAATAAAAAAATAGGGATAGTGTTTGATCCACATGAATTCCATGCCTACTTAAACGAAAGCTTCCATATCTCTAGGACACTAGAAGAACCATCTGCAACTTCAGCGACCATGCTAGACCCCAAGAGCCCAAGCGCCATTAGAAAGGAATTCCAATAAAAATTATTTCAAATTTCTTATTTAAGCATCTGTAAAGATATCAATCTGAGACAAGGATGGTGATGTGGACTCTATAAGAAGAGAGGCCTACTTCCAAAAACAATAATGTATAGATATAAATTATTTGACAACAGTCAATAACCACATTAACACATCTTTAAGGCCTCCAAAATGCCTATTCGTAGAAGAAACATATATTAATAAAGGAACCATGAATATTTTAATTACAACGACAAAACCCTGCTCATACATGAATGTAGTATACTGTAACTTGTTCCATCCCCTTAAACCATCCCACGTACCAAAGGAATAGGGTAGAAAACATATAAGAGACTACTTCTGCGGCGAGATAGATTCTAAGTAGTTTTCTAGATAATTCAGACTAGCTTACCATCTTTCTCCACAATAGATAGGAACCTTCGAGTTCCCCCACCGACTCCAAAATAATGCTTCTTGGCAGCCATGTATACTACTCCGTGGGAAGGAGTTATGCACTGTAAATTAAACATTATCAGACCTACAGCAGCTGCAAGATCACGGTTCTGAATCATAAATAATGACAAACTAAATAAGAAATACCTTCTTTATGAGTTCATAGAGATGTGGAAGAGCAGAGATTGAGTAAACTGTCTCTGCCATTAAAATAATATCATACTGAGCATCTAGACTTTTCCCTGTACTAACATTAAAATCCTTCTCAATGTTTTGTGCACAGGAAAGAAGCTTATGGATCTCACGCCAGTTGCCAGCAAAAAAACGAATTTCCGTCCCCGCATCACACTTTGTAACTTGCAGTGCTGGGGGTTGGAAGCTTGGAACATTTGAATTTACATTAGGTACGGTGAGACACTGCAGGACCTCCGCATTGAAGTCCTGGAAATGAATGGTAGCTGCACCCTGAAGCAACAATGAATAATCTTAAGAAATCTAATCTATGAAAACAAATGTACGAGCTTAAGAAACAAAAACTCACCTTAAGGCAAGCAAAGATACCAGGAAATCCATGACCACAACCAAGCTGAAAAATCATGATAGGAAAGACAGGAAGGCATAGTGAGAAATGGGAGAAGGAGATAAAAGACAGTGGCCTTAATTTCTAGGCCAACGAGGAAATCACTCATCAGAGATAATCACTTGTAGTAGTGATATATGAGTTATATGCTGATCATTGATCAATGACGATGTAGCTTCATGAATGACTTGTGAAGGTGCACCAAGAAATACCTAATTAAATGATGTGTCTGCAGATGTGAAGAGATATATTCATTCAAATGAAGGTATGTAAACTTCTTCAGAAGTTATATGTTAGAGCAGATAACAAAGACTCCAACTAAACATAACTTCCATCTAATCCAACAGAACATGGTGTTATCTCTAACAAAGGTTAAAGTGTTCAGGCTATTTATCATTAAACCATTTGGTAATGTGTCACGAACAGATTGCAGTTCATTCAAGTTAACATTCTTTACTTAATTGAATGTTCCAAGCTAGGATATAAGAGCACCAAAAGGTTGACCTAGCCATCTGTTAGTAATAATTAAAAGGCTCCTAGAGATTTCAAGAGTTCCCCTCCATGACGTGTGAAAATGAAATTAATGGAGTAATACTTAGTGAGGAAACCCTACAATCTGAATGAAGTAGGCAGGAATGCGACCAGAAGCCAAACTAGTTTCTCTTTGTAAGGGCGTCGAGGTAAAGAAGCATATGTCTCATTTCACAAAAACACCTTTACGAATTAAAGTCAACTTATTTACACTTGAACATTAGACTACCACACAAAGTAACATGAAGAATGTTAACATGTGTATGCATTATGGGACATTATACATTCACGTGAAAACATTAGGATGCCCACCTCTAAAACTCATTTACCGGTAAATGATAAATGTCCATTTTGAACTTCAGAGCTAAGAGCTTTAACTAGATCAAGAGAACCTTCCCAAGCTTTAATCCCCCTGCACCCCAAAAGCAAAAGACATACCATCACCATTTGGTGCAACAGCATTTCATAAATAAGATAAAACATTTGTAATGCAGAATATTACAAACTCAATCTAGTGTCATTTTTAATTATTGAATCACTATTAACAAAGCAAACAAAAGATAGGAAGAACTCTATACACCTTCATATTTCCCAGGAACTAAGTCGGAGTTGGATAGCGTGAAAACCTCTTGAGTACTAACGCATCCCATTTACACTCAGATTAAGCTTAATTTGATAGATTATCAAAACTTTCTACTCAAAGGGGCAACTTTTTTTTTTTTTTTTCCTTAAAAGGAAATTACATAGAGATAACAATGAAATTTTATATTCGTTCATACAGCTCTTCTTTACTATGCTCCATTTTCTGGGAAACCAAACAGAAATGAAAAATAAAGGAGTGACCTTGAGGAAAGTAAGTCCACCCAACTCCACTGGCTCCACAGTGTACTTCACAGAGGGCAAAATCTATTCCCCATTAAAATCAATCAATTGTTCAGTATCATATCTCGAAACTTATGTAGGCGTGTGCTTGAATTTGCAAAATACACCAATTAATTAAATACCTCGGAGGGCAACACTTCGACGCAAGGAGGCGGAGGGGAAGAGGGGGCTCTGATTGTTCAAGAAATCCTGATCCTGATGATGAAAACAGCCGAAACCGTTCGAAACTTGGTTTCTGAGAAACACGAAAAAATTTATTCAGTGTTGGGAAAGAAAAGGCGAAAGAAAGAGTGCACAACTCACCTCAGACTCCATTGCTGTCTGCTCTCTACTCTGCTGAGTGATTTAAGTCTGCCCCTCAGCTTTTGGGGTTTTGGGTTAAAAGGTTTTTTTTGTGGGGAAATTGGCGGCTTTACCCCTGGCTCACTTAATTTATTCATTAATATCCTTATTTTGAAACTCAACCACAAATGCCCCTTATAAAAACTCATTATTGACAGCCTATTGCCCTTCCTTCACTTTTTTTTTTCTCAATCGTTGTTCTTTCTCTTCCTCTTCTTCCTTCTGACAAACCTCACAAAATCCATCTCAACCATAGAATCTCCCCTAACTCTATCTCCTCTTTGTTATGTCTTCCAACTAGGAGCTGATTTCAACCTCAAGGTTGAACCCCAAATTTGGAATAGGACCCTAGCTAAGGCACGACTCGCCACCTCCGTTGTTGGCCTCCATAAAGAAGCCACAGTCTTGACTTGCCACCTCCGTTGTCGACTTCCACCACAAAGCCACGGCACCGTCATCGTCGATCTTCACTGTGGTGAGTTCTGATATTTTTATTTTTATTTTTTGGATTTTTGGTTTTGGGTTTTTTTGATTGATTGAGATTATTGGGTGATTGCTTTCACTGTTTTGAATGAGATATTAATGGGTTTCTGTTGTGGCTTGCTGTTTCTGTTATTGAATGAAATTTACCAACTATTTCATGTGGTTGTTAAGCTCTTGGACTTGGATACATTTTATTGTGCTTATGATTTATCTTTGAAATGATGTATACACTGTTTTGTGATTGAGACTTGGACTTGCAGATCTCCTTGAAAGTAATGTATTCACTCTTTTGGGTGGTATGATATTCGATATGAAATAATCTTGGACAGTCAAGGTTTGTCAATTTGTAAGTAGTTAGTTAGTAATAGGATACCCTAGGTTAATGACTTTGAGTTGGATTTAACTTTAAGAGTTCTTGATACATGCCTTCCTTGCTGGAGCTTGAAACACAGCTATACTAGCTGAACCGTTTCACTTTGCATAATACTGATGTTTTAAAATTGTTGGTTATTGATGTTTTATCTATATGGTTTATCCACTAGTTGATAGATTTTTTATTGGTAGCTTTACATGTGTTAACAAAAGGAAATTTTATGATGGTCAGAAATGGACACAATTGCAATTTTGGTTTGCTACAATGGAAAATGGGTAACCTCAAAGAAGACGTGCACATATGAAGGGGGTGACACAAAAGGCATAATAGTTTCGCGAAACATCACGTTTGGTGAGCTTTTGGAACGGGTGCATAAGATTGTTAATACAGACAACAGGGAAGTCAAGCTTTGTTTAAAGTTCTTAGTTTCAATATCCTCGAATGAGTGTAAGCATATCAAGATTGAGGACAATGATGATGTTAAATTTTTTATTAAGTACAGTTGTGACGTAATTCCTTCGAAAGTGGCTCCTTTACTGGTGAGCATAGAAGACAAAGGAGTGACAAATGTCGTAGGTGATTGTATGCATATCACGACGGATATGAGTCGAATGGCCTGTTCTTCAAATGCCATAGTTGAAAGCAATGGTGATGTACATGGTGATTTTGGAACACAATATTTAG